AAAATTTTAAATAAATTTATTAAAAATAAATAAAAAGAATATATCTTTTTAATGAGACATTTACTCGCAAAATGTTCGTCTGCACACAAGGCTCCCCTGCCTTCGGTTAATTAATGACATTCACATGGATTCCTACGGTTGTTTTTAACTTTATCGTAATATTTTCCCCAACTTTTTGTTGTTTTCGCATAAAGTGCTTTTCCCTCCTTAATTTAACCAAACACACCCCAGGGGTCAACTTTGAACAAGAAAAATGTGAAAAAAATAAGAGATGACGTGCGTATGTGATGTGGCCAATCAGCACAAACTCCCTGGGGGACGAAAAGTGCTATGTGGGTCCTACACTCAGACACCTTTTTTGTCAGCTTGCGTTGCCCCCGTTGCTAGGGTTGGCAACGGATCACCATGGAGGTGGGCACTCCCTCCCCCTTGCATCTCCATCATTGCCAATGTTGGGTATAAGAATCTTCACAGATATTTTTTATAGAGGGTTAAAAACAACGTCCATTCTCATACCATGGAGAATGATAGGTTTTCATGGTTACTTGAAATCTTCGTCAAATAAAACTATTATTTATTTTGATACTCTAAATCATAAGCACTAAAGCAGAAAAATTGTAGTTTCAAAAACTACAGCTAATTAATACCTTGAGGTTGGAGTTGGAAAGCTTGAGAATCGAAGGCAGAGTTGCAGAGGAAGAAGGACGACCTAGGCTAAAGGTGAGCGGTGACCTATGAGTGGAGTGGAGGCAACTCAGGCAATAGCTAGCCACTGTCGATTTCAAGGGTAGTGATGGCACGATGAGAGCTTGAAGGTGAGGACTAAAGAGGACGACCTAGCCTTGGTGTTGAAGGTGAGTAGTGAGCAGTGAGCATTGTAGTGGTTGCACAGCACAATGGGTAGTGACAACATAGTGAGATCTTGATCTTGAAGGGAATCACAAATGAAATGAGGACTTGCGGACAAAGGATTGAGCAAACAGAAGCATTGCAATGGTTGCACAACGCAATGGGTAGTGATGACACGGTGAGATCTTGATCTTGAAGGGAATCACAGATGAGATGAGGAGTTGAGGATAGAGGATTAGGCAAACAGAGAGAGTTATAGTGTAGAGCGACAAAAGAGACTAGAGGATTGAAGAGTCGCAAGCGGTAAGCAAATTTGAAATCTTTGGCTTTGGATAGTCCTTTTAAAGTTATCAATTTAATTGGGCTGGGCAATTAGGAGGTATAAGAAGATTGGATTCATAAAAAGAATGGGCTAGGGAAGATAATTTGCGTTTGGAAAATTGAAAAAAGAATGAGTTGTGAAATTTAGATTATGTTGGTATTGAGTTAGTTAATTAAATTGAGTAAGTAAAAATTAATTGTTAATATATTTACAAAAAATATATATAAATATATATTTTTTATTTTATACAGTTCCCCACGAGATGGAAGAAATTTCATGGGAAAAAAAAAGTACCTCCATCCCCGCCTCACGGAAAAAAATATTCTTGGAATCTCCATCCCCGTGATGAGAATCTCCACAAAACTCCACTGGTTGCAGAAAAAATTACCATCCTTACCCATGGCAAATGCCCATCGGAACGCAAATATCAGTTTTGGTTTAACTAAAAAGTAAAAATCGATCTTTGGCTCATAAAAAATTTTAAATTTTAAAAACCAAAATTGAAAGCAAAAATATATACCAGTTTTTTTGGTTCAACTATCCGAAATTTTTTGTTATTGTAAATTTAGTTTCGATTTTAATCAATAGTTATCAAATATAAAAATAAATAAATAAATAAGAGTAAGACGTGAATTTTAAATTTTATTTTTAAAATTTTAAATATATTTTAAAATCAAATCCATAATTATAGCAAAATTTATAAAATAATACTTGATAGTGAAATTGAATTAGATGATTTTTATTTGGCAAAAATATAATTTTTATATTTGTTTAGAATATTAATGTAAATATTTAATTTTTAGTTATATATTTGGTTTTAGTTTTTAAACTCTAACCAAAAACTAACCAAGTTTTTTTTATTACAATAAAAACTAAGAAAAAATAACGAAAAATCGATCACATCTTATCATTTGGTCAATTTTTTATTAATTTTTAGTTAACCAACTATCTACCCACCGCTACTTAAAGGTAGAACACTCTGGTAGGATAGAAACCCTAATTTTGAATTTAAAAATTGCTAAGATAATCCTACTGTAGTGTTATAATGAGTGATTCATCAACAGCTAAACCCCTCACCCCCTTTGTCATTATTTGAGTTTTTCTTGAGTTTTGTTCTCGTGATAAGAGAAAATAATCTCTCATTCTTTAATTAACTCTTCTTGTTTGGCCTGTATATTAAATGATTTAAAATTAAAATTATATATATATTTTTTAAAAATATTACTATTAAACTATTTAAAAGTGTATTTGGGATTGTAATTAAGAGTTTTTTTTTAAAATTATATAGTAATTTTAGATATATATTTAATGATTTTGTAAAGTATCTTTTCTAAAAACTATAAAAAACCAAAATAAATTAACATTAATTTTATATATAAAATTAAAAATCTTATTTTTAAACTTTCTTACTGTAATTTTTACAAAGAATACCTAATATATAATATAATTACAAAATTATTTATTAAAACTCAATTTTTTATAATTCAATTACATTATAATATTATACAATTTTAATAATTAT